ACTTTTCAGGAGCAGACATGTATCTGTGGAACTGTTAGCAAGATGTCTTCACTGAAAGAAGTAGAAAACAGAAAAGTTTTCTAAACAAATCTGAGCATAGGTTTCCAATACAAGCCAGAGAAAATGTGGTAGCAACTATCATTGGAGTCAATGGGAAAACTGCTGTGAAATCCAGCAAGTGAAGTATTTATATTTTATGCAAAGATCAGAACTACTGCTCTGTTATGAGGTCACTTAAAATATATTTGTACCATTTAGATTCTGTGCTTGCGGAAGAGGCTGTCATCTCCTATAACAGGTTTGTGATGGGACTGACATCTTTCAATATTTTCGTTAGTAACCAGTATGATGGGGTAGAGAATATGTTCATTTTTTAGTAGAGGCCTATATAAGAGTTTTTGACTGTGATGAAAGTAAGGATTAGCAGTGATAGGTAGTTTTTCAGAAAGGATCTGAGAGTTATACCACAGGCAAGTTGTATATGAGTTGATGACAGAATGTTGAATTAGAAAGCATGAAAGGTGAAGTAATCCTTTTGCTTCACGTGACACTGGTAAAACTTCAGCTGGAATATTTTCAAAATTTTACTTCTAGAAAGATGTGGATAGGGAGTCCAAACAGATTACAAGGAGTCCAGAGAAAAGCAGTTAAAATTATCAGACATCTGGAAAACAAGACTTATGAGAAAAGGTTGAAACAATTGTCTACAGAAGATTGAGGAAAGACATAATAACAGTCTGCAAATACGTTCGAGGCTGCTGTAAAGAAGACTGGATCTTCCCTTAGGAAAGAACAAGAATTAATAGGATGAAAGCACAGCGAGGTGGATACTGGAGCAGAAATTTGATAGAGAGGTTGGAGAACTCTGTGGCTAAAAATCTTCAAGAACAGGCTAAATAAACATCTCAGAAGCACGTTTACGGTTGATCTTGTCCTGGTAAGCAGAAGGATGAAGTATCTCTTGTGGTCCCTTTTCCAGGCTTATTTTTTTATGACTCTATATGTGCTTGCTTGAGACAAATTGTATTGTGCAGTTGTTCACTGTTTCATTCTTTAATATATGAAAGGAATAGGCTTGCTCATGGTTGATGATTAGATATTTTCACTTGGCTTAGAGAAATAAGCACTCATGTTCATTTATTTTGTGTGTGTTTCTTCAATAAGCTTTTGGCTTTTGCTGCAGAGCAAAGGATGTCAGCATTCAAACGCTCCCTAAAAGCTTTTCCCATTTAACTGGATACATCTAAATTCCATGTAGTCATGGTGAATACTGTCAGTCACTCTTGATTCAGCCAAAATGGTTTTAAAGCAGTCGGGGAGTATATGGGGGTGTATGCTGCTGAGCAGCTGATTTTTAAATTGCAAACAGTTCCGTATGGTTTCTCACGCGCTGTCTCCTATATCCATATGACAACTTGGACTACAACTGTTTTGATTTTGTATTCCTGTGTGTGACTTGAACTTTTCCATAACTACACTATTAGGAAGTTTAGACTGGGTCAGAGTAAAGGTCATTTGTTGTTGATTATCTCATATGCTTTTTCTACTTAATATAAAAGGAAGTCAATGTATCATACTTAAATGTTCTGTACTGTGAGACTCATAGTAGGAAAAACTAAAACCACTGTTGACCTTACAAACTTTGTTAATCAGTTTACATCTAGTGTTTCATAACAAATTCGGATGATCTTACTAGTCTTCTTGGAAGGCAGCATACTTCTAGCCTGTTCCCATCACCTCAGATAAAGTTTGGTTTTGCCTGATGATCTCTTCAGTTGCTTGAGGTTTCCTTTCTTTCCTCCCTCTCATGACATATCATCCAAACATTCTTAATCTCTAGAGGAACTGCAAAACACGTTCCCATGAAAATCTTAAATCTCTAAAAGCAGTACACAAGAAAAAAAAGAATAAAGATACCATAAAACTAGCCTTGCTTCTCACTGAATGACTTGAGTAAACTCTTGTCACAGCCATAGTAAAGTATAAGTCTTTAAGATCCAGGACTCCAGTCAGACTCTGTCATAAATGGAGGTATTGCCTTTTTGACTGATTTCTATTATAAAACCAAAGGGCTCATTAATCTCATCTAGGGCTTTAGGGGGAAAAAAGAAAGGGGAAAAAAAAGAGTGAGCAAGCTGTGACAAGGTAGCTTTAATGATCTGGAGAGTCTTATTGACCGTACATCTTTGTTCTATCTCAAGCCACACCAGTTATCTCAATAAGGTTTTTTTCCTAGAAATTATGGTACCCAACATTACCATTATACAGTAGAGGTCATTCAAGAATACTTCTCTTCTGTGTTTCTTTAGCACACCATAAAGAAAAAAAAGGGCTTTTGGTCTTCTACAGAGATATGATAAAAGGCTTTTACTTGAAAATACTTCAAGATACTTCAGACATTCAGCCCTGTCAATTGGTTTTTCAGAATCCTTAATGTACTCTTCAGTGAGTAAGTGTCTCCTCCAACTGAAAATTTGCTTTTTAATATTATCGTGGGAAATGACTGTGTTGTTCCTTCTAGTGGGTCTTGTCTCCTATACTAAGTTGGGTTTATGTTTTGTTTTGGTTCTTTTTTTTTTTTATTTCAATTGCAAACTGTTCCCTTTATGAGCAGGCAGCTTACTTAGACTCATGCAGGAATCTGACTGATTGCAAGGCTTACCTTGCAGGAGAGGCTCTGATATCACAAGACCTTGAGGAAAAACAGAGAAAGCAAATCTCTACATTGTATTTTGCAGGTTAACAAGGGAGGACAGGCCTGCCACCTTAGAAGACAGTCTTAAATGATGCTGAGAAATTTAAGGACCTTTTAAAAATGCTTGAAATCATCTTACAAGTAAAATTAATCTATAAACAATATAAATACTAAAGTATCAGTTATATGTTCAAATGGATCCTTTAGCCACAACGGTAGGATGTTGACTAGTCTTGCAGTCATTGCATTATGTGGAAATTGGCCCACAGCCAAACCCAACAATGTTAAACACCATATTTCTTCCAGTAAAGTAATTTCTGATTGCAGTAACTGTTTTCATCTCAAGTACCAAATGTGGGAGACTTGGACTAGCTCAGAAAGGGCTATGTTTTCATAGTGTTATTCTGTCTCTTGATGCAGTTGGACATCAGAAATCAAATATGAATTTTGAACAAAGTACATCATATAGGACCTTTACAGTGGTAGTTTTGACTTGGAATATTTTAGCCCCAAAAAGTAAATGCAGAAAAGAAACATTTGGTTTTTAAGCATTCTCAAGATGCTAAATTGTTTTTAAAGCAGGATTTAGATTGGACTTCTGTCCACAGATAAGAGAAAATGTTAATGTTGCAAATTTTCTGGCTCTCTCTTTCCTTATTGGCTTCAACAAATTGACTTCTGTGACCCTAATTGCATCAATTTATTTAATACTTAATGTCTGTTTTAAATACCACTGCTAAACAACAGATAAACTAAAAGATAAATGAATGAATGAATGAATGAATTAATTAATTAATTAGGGTTCTGGAAGAATCTTGCTCTCTGGAATTAGTAATAGACACAGATTTGTAATTCTCTGAGAGCTACAGCACAAACTACACAATCACTATGTAACGGTCACACTGCAACATAACTGTCACACTGTGAACTCACATCTTGCATAATGCAGAAAAATGTGGAAGGAATGAATAAGAATGACTATTGCGGACCTTCATCATTCCTAGTACTACCTAGCTGAAATTTAATAATATATTAAAAGAAAACCCTTAATATCTGGGGCTGCTTTGAGGTGAACGACACCCATAGGAGGTCTGCTTTCAAAGTTATCTTCAATGTAAAACAGGAAGAATTTCCAGACATAAGAAAGTGAAGGCCACCTGAACATTTCTTGTGACTGGGGCTTCCAGCTGGAGTCTAGATCCGCACAGCAACTTGACTTTCTTTTTATGATAGTAGAAGGCAGACATTTTTATAGCAAAATGAGGAAAACTCCTAGGAAAGCTTCTCTGTCTCATTTATAAATGAATCAGCAAGCAGAGTGGGTTTCAGAGTCAGCCCGTGTTTGAGGTTTTAGCAAGAAACAGAGATCCTCAAATTTATTTCTGCCATCAGGCTTCTCAAGAATATTTAGTTTACTCAAGTTCATTTTGAATTAAGGGATAACACGCTGTGTATATTTCCGTTGAATATAGCCCTCTAATCTGTTTACATGCCTCTGTATGCACAGCTGTGATGAGTAAATCACTGCAGTAGTTTTGTCTGTGCAAGGATGCAGTATATCAGGCCTTTCTGAAACTATCAGATGATAGGATTGTTAGCAGAAGCCTGGCTAATCTTTTTTATTCTGCAATAGCATGCCATAGCCGCAAACTATGCTAGTGATAAGAAAAAAGGGCAAGACATGGTGTTAGATTCTGCACCTCATTTACTCTGGGGTGAATACAAAGTAACTGTACAGAAAACAAGACAATGTATTTAGGTTTATTCTGTTGTAACTTGGGTCAGAAACATCCCTTTAGAATGGTGTATATTTAATGATAACGTCATATGTTGCATTTTGTTGTTGTTGTTGTTGGATTGTGGCGTCGTAGGGTTTTTTCTTAAATTGACTTCTTGCCTAGTGGGGAGTTGATATTTATATTCCATCCTCTTTGAGAATAACTTTCAAATATTTCAGTACCAGCAGAGAACTTGTTTCCAGATTCACATTCAGGCTGGAGTCAAGAAATTAAAGTAATGAGAGTTTAAAAAGAAAAGTAAAGAAGAGCCAGAAGAAAACTTGTAAGCTTCAAACTTGTTCAGTTGTTGGCTTTCTCACTAGCAAGCTCTTTCTGTGAGATCTGTACCTGCCCCAATTAGTCAGTGACACCAGGCAGAGCAATAGAGCTGTTAACATTGAGGAAGGGAGAGATGAAATAATGAGGAAGGTAATACTGGAGAAACAAATGTGAATAATGAGTTACAAATATTAACTGTCTTGCATGATTTTTGGTGAAATTTCTCATGTAATTGTTTTCTTTTCAAGGGACCGAGCTCCCTTCATCTTCACATCAGAGATGGAGTATTTCATCACAGAAGGTGGAAAAAACCCGCAGCGTTTTCAAGAGTTTGTGGAGCTTTGCTGTCGAGCTTATAATATAGTCAGGAAGCACAGCCAGTTACTCTTGAAACTGCTGGAGATGGTAAGAAGCTGGAGGATGAAACCAAAAATCCATTTCCTCTGGTGTCCTCTTTTACCTTTGTCCTTCCCTTTTACCTCTTCTCTGCTGCCTCCAGTAGCGCTGCGATTTGAAGAGGTATCAGCTGCACTGCAGGCAATGTTAATGCTGGCACTTCCTGACCAAAAAGCCTATCCAGTTTCAGTACTAATTTCTGAGAAAACAAAAGCTAAGCTGCTTGATTTTTTTTTTCTTTTTTTTAATGCATTTTTTTTACAAAATAGCAGAAAACTGCAAAAGAAGCTGGGTATAACTTCACCTTCAGGAATTTCACTCGGCCCTTTTTCTAGGTCTTCTAACAATCATTTACCAATCCCGTTCATGGTTACAGCAAGACAAAATAAGCTAAATATTTCACAGAGTGGGTGATGTGACAGTACCTAGCAGAACTGCAGCTAACAGTGATGCCATTAGAATGGGGTTTTTTGCACATTTCCACCCTCCCTTCCTAGGATGGCAAATGCAAGAAAGAAAGAGCACTACCCATATTAACACAGGTTTAAAAGTCCTTTTGTGTAGGATTTTGAGACCTTTAGGAGTTTTTATCCCTTAAGTATTCCTACTGATTCACATGCTGTGGCAGATTCCAAAACTGCTTTATGAATCTATTTACTTGGGTGTGAAAGGTTAATGCTTTTCCCCCCTCACGGGTAGAACGAGACTATTAAATTAACTAATATTTGCTAAGTTGCTTGGCTAAGATATTAATCTAAAACATGTCCAGGGCCCCATGCAAAACCTAGGTGACTGGTCTGTGCATGAAAAAATCTACAGAACCTTATGAACGGAACCCCTGCTGAGGTTGGGGTATAGCCACGAAGTTCCTTTGTAAGCGCTGCTCTATCATCTCCAGCTTCTGCAATGGGGAGGGGAGAAATGGCAAGAATTTGCTTATCTTGTTTCTGTCTTGTCTATGGATTCTCATGCAGTGGTACAGCGAGTGACTTCCCAATATGGAGCAGGAAGGATTTCCCCAGATGTCTTAACCCTGCTTCTGAGTAGTCACAAAAGCGCAGCAAAACTGCATTCTTATCATAAAGCATAATTTTGCACTGAAAGCAGTGCAGAGTGCAGTTGTAGGAGATACTGTCTGAGTTTTAAAGAGCCTCTGGAAAACTCAGGAACACCCATGCTCCCTCATCCACAGCAGTAATCTCTGCATTTCTGAACACGTTGCCTAAAACCACATGCTGCAAATATAACTACAACTTCTGCCCACCTCCTTGTCCCTAGTGCAGTCCCTTTTTCTGCAATCAGCAGAGATAATGGTGTTAGATTACTCTGGGATAACAGAGAGAGAGTGTTAGGAAAATGTTCCCAGCAGGAGCCCTGAAATAACTAGCTATCTCTGCCTGGATATAGCTCAGGTTTGTTTATATTCAGGACATGCTGCAACTTCTTTTGTTTCTGCTGATCTTTAAGGAGAGGTAATAGCGCTGAGCTGGAAGTCAGAATACAGATATGTTTTAACATTTGTCAATGGACGACAGTTCAGTCAATTGTGTTGCATTTCATAATTGAAAAATAACTGGCAGCATACTCACACCCTATCAATGAGCACTTCATATCAGAAGGAAATTAAACAAACAAGGCAAGTTTGCAAATGCCTTGTTTTTGCCAGTGATGTTTGGAAGGGTGAGTCTAGTTCTGCACTCAAAATGGGGTGTTGGCCGGAAACTGTAAGTATCAAAATGTTTTAGTTTCATGGGTCATTTCTAAAAAAGTAAATAGACTACAAAGGAGTTCCACTTTGAATTCATTTCTATGCGAAATATCAGGTCTTATCATGAAGGGGCAAGATAAACTAACCACTGCCTATTTGTATCAGTGATGGTCTAAGATTTCTCTCATTGTCTGGAAAACTGCATCATTAATCTTTCCTTCCCCTCCCACATTCTGTTTTCTGAGATGCTAATTATAAAACATTGTTAAAAAATCTAAACAATAAGGCTATTTTTAAAAGGTGCAGTATTTCACAGGAGTAATAAACTTTGCTCTGGATGGTTGGTAACTGTTAGTGCTTTCTAGCAAACCGTGGATATGAACAACAATTTGGGGGTTTTGGCCCACTTTGGGACTTGATGCTTTTTCTTCTTGGTGAGCAGCATGTTTCTAGAGCTGTACTGACATTTGTTACTGGGAGTAAGAAATAATCCATGAAGTTTGCATCACTTTCAAAAGCAGAAACATCTGTGGGAGGCTCAAGAGTCTGCTGGCAGAGTTCAGCTGCGTAAATGCCTGTAGTTCATCAGCTTTGCTCTCATTAAAGAATTGACGTGATCTATTATAGAGAGGGTGATTGCAGGCCACAAACACCTTTTGATTAGTTTAAAAAAAATGCAAAATCCATTGCTGTTATAAAGATGGTTTCAGGTGGAAAATTATTAAAAGGGGCTTACAGCTGACACTAGACAGCAAGTAATTGATCCACTTGCTTCTGTTGTGACAAGAGACAGATTGACCTGATAGTATAAAACAGGAGACGGTACCTAGCCGGAAGAGATACAGGACTCAAGAATCCTATGTCCCTGCACAAGTAATTTCACCCTTCTACGGCTCAGAAACACCATTTGGGAAAAGAGGATCAGGAAACACCCCCATTTTGGAACTCTAATGCATGGAAAGTACATGCCAGGACTATTCATATTTCATGGGATGGCAGACTGAGCATCACACACCAGCTCTAAATCTAGGCCCAAGGAGAGCATATGCAGCTCCACTCAGTGAGTCAGAAGGCCTGGGATAACCAAGTGTGGTAGGTCAAGACGTATGTGTGGCCAAACGAGGGGAGCAATGTAGGCACTTAAACTTAGGCATCTAGTGACATTTGAGTTGCCCTAGGCAACCTGTAATTGTTTTCTGAACAGTTGTTCCATGTCTTGTCTAATTAGCATCTAGTATCAGTAGCCACAGTTTTCAGAAGCCTCCTCCATCAGGGCACTGGAAACCTGAAAGATCTGCTGTATGGCGCAAAAGGGATGAAGCGCTGTAATAACCCTCTAACACCCCCTCACAGCCGGCAGAGCACTGTGTAGGTACTGCCCAGCTAAAGACATTTTTTTGCTTCAGCAAATGATTTTCCACCTTCTGCAATGCAGAGAACCTAAAAAAAAAATTCCCTTTTTTCAGTTACACTACATATCATTCAGATTATCAGTTCATACCTGGCATTGTTCCCTTTTCTAATGCAGGGCAAGAAGCTTAATTTGCCTATGTAGCAGCTCTCTTTTTTTTTTTTTTTTTAAAGAGGACAGGAGTTGTTATCATCTTTTAGAAATGGGTTGAAGGCATACAGGTAAATAGTATTGTGTGTCCTTAAGTGCTGAATGTTGTTATTGTCACTGCTCTCAGCTCACTTAAATTAATCTCATTGAGCTTCCTCATTTTCTCTGCTCTCTTGCTAGCCAGAACTCTGTGAGACAGCAGTCTAATTGTCCAGAGGTAGATAGGGTCAGATATGAAGCAAGATTTTCCTCATAATGCCAAAAAGAAAATATAAAAAATAGTGAAACTTGATTTGAAAATATTGAGAAGGTTGGGAGGAATAAGGAAAATACCCCTCCATCTCGTTTTCCCTTACTCTGTTCATCTCCCAACCAAACCTTAGAATAAAAGCAGTGCTTCCTTTCTTCTTTGCTGTTTTCCACAAAACTCAGTGGGTCTTTGTGTGAGCTAGACATAAATATCAATGAAGAATGCACAGCAGTGACTGCAAATTCAGATACATTTCCTTCTGAGCAATGCGAAGGAGTGATTTTTTTTCTCTATTACACACAAAGCATTGCTCATGACTTACTGTGATTGTTGAGAAAAATCAGTGGGTTTTAAAGTGATTCAAAATTATTTTTGTTGTTGACATTTTAAAATGCCCGGAGAGAGCTGCATGGGCAATTGGACACACTCAGTTGTCTATCCCACTCATGGTGTTACTTTGCAAGGGGAATATTTGCATTATTTGTCTTTTGAACCTAACTTAGCCAACTAAGAAGAATGATACACATCCATGAAGAATGATACACTTCTAGAGAGGGCAGTTCTCCCCACCCAAGTCAAGATTCCTGGTATGAATCAATGTCTAAAGGAACCTTCCTCCTCCATTGACTGTAAAGGGAGTGAATCTGTGATCCCTTTGCAGGAGAAGTCCAGAGCAGTGATGGTGGAATCAGTAGTTACAAATGGGAAGGTGATGTTGCTCCAAATTGCATTAGGACTAGGATAACACTGTCAGCATAACAGAAATGTTAGCTATTGTTCAGGTGGCTGAATTTGGTCACTTTCCCTTTATCACCGTTAGAAAGCTATGAAGGAAGCTTAAGCAATGCACAAATTGAGATCATGATATCTAAAGAGAAAATAAATAACTCAAATCATAGAATCATAGAATCATAGAATCGCTTTGGTTGGAAAAGACCTTTAAGATCATCGAGTCCAACCTTTAACCTAACCCTGCCATCCCACCACTAAACCATGTCCCTAAATGGATGAATGATTTTGACCCGTGCTTCTTTCCAGCACCTCAGTGTGAAGGTTTACAATGCAATATATTCACTTTAGTGTTCCAGGTATTGCTCTAGCACCAGAACCACTTTTCAGATCAGCAGAACTTTGTTTTACAAGAAGTCCTTTTGGTGTAAAACCTTTCTTTACCCAGTCAGCCCCATTTCATTTAAGTTTCTTTTTAATAGTTAGTGAACTAATGATATTTCTTTATTTTAAGATGCTGCATGCGGGATTGCCTGAGCTAAACAGCATTCAGGATCTGAAGTATGTGTATGATAACCTCCGTCCTCAGGACTCAGACCTCCAGGCTACAAGCTACTTCACAAGGTAAAACCAGAATATAATCCAGAAACTTTATCTCCTTCAGGCATGAAGCAAAGCAATCAAATTAAAAAAAAAAAAAAAAGCCATTTTCCTGTTTTGTTAATAGGTTGTAATCACTGAAATTACACAGAAGTATAATTGGTCTTCACATGTTTACTTTTAAGAAGTCCATTCCTTATGCATGTCATAATCAACCTTCTCAAATTTCTGTCAGAAACAGTTGTGCATTTGTGGTGCACTTGTAACAAGTCACTTACTCAGCACCTAGAGATTTCTTCAGCTTTCACGGTGAAACCGTCCTGGCTTATTTCTAGTCAGCTTTCCTCTCTGCTTTTAAATGCAGCAGCTACATGCAACAGGATTTGGACTGCACAGAAAGGTTCGACTTGTTAATGGACTGAGTGAGGACCTGGAATTCCTGCATTTTATTCCCTTTTCCATTCTTTTTTTGACCTTCTGTGTTGCTTCAGGCAAGTTACTTCCCCTCTGTTAGTCATAGTTTCTCCATCTGCAAAATGGTGCTGACTCTTCCTTTTAAGCTCTTAACAGATCTGTCACAGAAAAAGCATTGTATGTGAATATATGTATGTTTAAAGCTTGATTTGTGTTAGGATAATGAAACCTTTCACTTGTTTGTGATAATAACTGAGCATTATTGATGAGGAGCTGCAGATGACCTGTATAAAATCAGTCTGAAGTCCTCAGTCCTGATCTTTCGGGTCAGGCCTCTGCATTACATATAATCCCAGCTGTTTATGTGATGGTGCTCTAGATGGAGCCAGTGGAGACTGACAGGATTTGGAAAATCAGTTTCCCATTCTACGCACAATATGAGAAAATTTGTCCCTGTCAGACCCTGTCCAGCGCAGCACCATCGTTTCCCAAGGACAGTCTATGAATGCACACACCCTGGACACCACGTACGCATGCGACACAAGCCAGACTCTTCTGACCTCTTCCTCTGGCCCAAGTGCAGGACACACATCCAGGCCACAGCACCGAATTCTGTGTGAAGGGCTCCTTTCAAACCCAGAGGGAACTCCCATAAAGCAGCACGGTTCTCTGCACTGTGCAAACTGCCTCGAGGCAAGAGCAAACCCCCTACCCTTCAGTACAGTCAGAGGGCACACTGGAATGTATAAAAGAGATGAAAGCTTGAACTGGAGCAGCTAGGCCAGTCTCGTTACTACTACAGAGGTCCATATGAAGATTGTGTGGTACATATGTCTCCTTTTTGTGTATTAGGATTGGGAACTGAGGCTGCAAGTTCAAAGAAGGCTGGAACAGAGACCTAGAAAGTTTAAGGAAGACCTTTCTTTGAAGAGAAAGAGGGAAACCTCTCAACCCCCTCTCTCCCCCCCATTTTTCCATTACTTTACACACAGCAGAGTTCCTTCTCCTTTGACACTTGTTTTTTCGTATGCTTTCCCTCTTGCCCCTTAACAAAATAGTTTTATTTTACAATTTAATTACAGCTTCACATTCACTGTCTACTCCTTCCTTATCCTTTCCTTTAAAATTTCACATATTCCCAAATTACAGACTTATATTTCCACTTCAAATAGGAAACATGCAGTTTCTAATTAAAATGTAAAAGTTTTCATTCTGTCAAATAGTTTGTGTGGTTGTGTTTGTCCCTCATGGGTAAAAAACCCAATTCATTTAATTAGTGAAGAAAGGCTAGGATATACATAAGAAATAGGAAATCGTGAGTCTTCAGAGTGAAAATTGCATTAATGTCATGCAAAGCTCAGAGCTAGTGCCCAGCGCTCTTCTGGAAATTGAAAGGGTCAGTATGCTTTTCAATGGGGTAAGACGAAGGTTATGGTTAGGGTTAATATCACTGCAATCTTGTTTAGCTGGAAAATTAAGGATGAGGGCTGAGTTCAGGAAAGAGCTGTAGCTAAAAAATCTTTCTTGGACTTGCGCAAGGTGGTTGTGGTGTTTTGAGGGTTAGGGTGAAGGAATCTTTCTCAGCCAAAGCATGTGGAATAACAGTTGGCATTAGGAAGGAGATGTGGCTCAACACTGTTTTGGAAGTGGGAAGAGTTGGTGTGCTTTGTTGCCTGGTAAAGGTTCGTTTTAGGATTAGGATATCCTGTTGAGCCTAGAGAGACTATAGGTAGGTCTCGGAGGCCAGCATGTCCTTTTCCCCAATAGATTTCTTAGGGTTGATGTTAAAGTAATTAAGGCTTTCACAGTGGAAACACCACTCAAGTCCTGCTTACCAACAAAACTGGCGTCATGGTGCACATCTGGACAGTGCTGTGGGCTCTGTTCTTATTTGAAACTGTATTTTCTGCTAAAACGTTTTTAGTGAACTCCAGATCTGTTGTTGCAATTTCCTTCAAAATGCTGAAGTGTAGATTTGTTACTGTCCATAGAGGTCATTACATCACATAGAAAAGTCAGTTATTGCTAGGGTGCATATTTTGTTCTTTAATACTCATAGGGTATGTTTGTATTATATATGCTCATTTGGAAGAAGAAAGTCTCTTGTTATCAGCTCATGAATTTCCATGGATCTCATTTCTCTTGGTGCTTTTTTTTTTTATTCTAATTTCTATTAATGTTTGAACATAATTTGTGTTAATTCAACACATGTACTAACTAACGTTTCTACATGTCTAAATAAGGGCGGAACATCAGGTTTCATGTCTAGTAGTGTTTTAACTTCTGAAAAGCGTGTCCAGGCACTTTTCAAAATAAAGACTTTGGCATGGCCTGATACCTGGATCCATGCAGAACTTAGCCCTCTTTATAAGCTTTTTCTGACCTGCACCCAGGAATGCTAATATATTGAGGGTTTTGTGAGCTTTGTGTTACTCATGTCATCTTTATTCCTGTCCTTTAGAAAAATTCTTCCCCACCTCCTTGTTATACAAAAAGTCCATGTGAGGAAAAAAATCCAGTCACCCAGTTCTCATGGGCACTCTGTAGCTTATTTCTGTATCTATTTTTCAGGCAGTCCTTATAAAGCCAAGGAAATTGAAAATTCGGTTCATTAGCGTAACTCCCAGTAGCTCTTAAATCCTTCACAATTCGTAGCTCCTTTTTGTCCATAATTACTTCCTGAAACATTTTATTGTTTTTAAAAAGTTCTTTTCTAGATAAGGAGTGTGGTTATTGGAATGTTAAAATCTGCCAACAGAAAGTTATTTCTTGTTCTAAGTACAAGGTAGTTATTGTAATCTTTCAGATTTGATCATACAATGAGTATCTGCTGAAAACCCCAATCTCCTGCTACTGGAAATAAAAGAACAGTATTTCTCTGTATTTCTCTCGAAATAGGTTGCTTTTAGCAATTGTCTGAGTTTGGTTTGAGCAATAATGCTGACATTGCCTCTGCTGTTGTTTAAAAACAACATGATATCATGAAGGATGTCACAAATACTCCTGGCAAAACAGCGTTAATTTGTTCTTTGCCGTCACCTTTGTAGCCAACAGAATAATGCAACCAGAGTTTGGACTGTAATGTACTGACCTCTTTCAGGATTGTAAAGCGCTCTGTGTTTTATCAAATTCCTTTCCTCTCATTCCTGATTTAAGACATGTTCAACAATCTGCGGTCTTATTTGTGTACTGTATTCTTCTCACATTGGGTCGATTCACTGCTATGAGCTGATGAGCGGCAGTGTTAAGCCTCACAGCTTACAGCCTTCTGGAAGGTCGCACTCTCAGACCGTGGATAAACAATGCACCAATTGAGAGTTAAACAAGAGTTTCTGTGTTTGCTTGTCAGTTCTGTGCACCTAGTGCCAAATGAAACATTGTCGTCTCTCCAGCATCTGCCCTGAACTCAGTTTGATCCTTGAAACTCAATTTGATCCTTTCCCCTCCCTCCTTTCCTCTTCCCCTGACAACACAGTTTTACCAGAAACTGGAAACCCATCTTACCTCTGGATATAAATTTCCTCTTTGGTTTTCTGCAGATGTCTTCAAATGTCAGCATGGTGTCGCATGCTGCCTGACATTTTTAATGTGCCTGTAAAGGGATGTATAGTTAAAATTATTTTTAAGGCATTAAAGTTAGCCTAATGCAATGAATGGAATTGATTTCACCTGATTGCAGTATGCAATCTAACCCACTCACAGAAGCCCATGAATAAGAGATGCACAGTGGATCTGACAATTACCAGCGAGGCACCATTGCATATCTTCAGCAGCCTGATTGAGGAGGGTGCTGCTTGGGTCAGCTGCCATCTTTACTTATTTATTAACAGAATCATTTGTTGGGTACCTGTCATTGCCCAGGTCAAGCATATCCACTCCAAACCGCAAATGCCAGCAGTTGCAAAACTGGGCAATTCATAGGACCTCCTTACAAAACACGACACTAATCTCAAACTGATCAGCAGTTCCTTGCTTCTCTGGTGGCTGCAGATATTCCAGCCAGAAATCTCTCAAACGACTGAAACACCAGTGAAAGCTGGTGACTTCTGAAAGGGCATAGACAAAACTACGGTACTCAACTTCTCTCAGTGGCATTCGAGCAGTTTGTAACGATTGTGGTATATGTGCCTCAAAGGAACAGAGGCAGACTTCCTCCTTGAATTTATGTTGTCTGAGGCATTCATACTGTTGTACAAACCCCACATGCCACCAGCTCAGGGGAGAGGACCGTCCTCTGTTCAGGGAGAGGTGCAAAGGAGGACTAATAGGGAAACTAGACTGGAAGATGCACTTCAAGAGAGTATGTGATATGCTCAGCCCGTGGAATCGGAGGTAGCCTGAATTAAACCTGGATTTTAAAGCCTAGCAAAATAAGGGGTACAAAGAATACGATTATTGCCCGTACACTATCACAGCAGGAAATAAGGTATTAAACTGAAGGGTTATCACTGCTGTACACAAAAAGAATATCAACTGTCCTTGAATAAATGTTGCTGAAAATTAGAAAAGATCAGTCCCTGAAAGCAGTAATATCCTGGAGAAGTCTATTAAGAGCTGTTGGGGGCATACTACCCAACTTGTTTTAAAACGGAGCATGGTAAATTCATGGATGGAAAAGTTGGATATAAATGAAACACCGTGTTCATTAACACCTAAAAATCCCATGAAAATAAATTTTGCTCATTATACTCTAAATCATTTCAGGCCTAGATGGAAATAAGAAGCAGCATGCCATCAAGAATGATAAAGAAAATTATTCTGAAGTTTGAAAATATTCTGAATATTTATCATTATATATACCGAGGCTAAGATCTGGATAACTAGTCAGTAATAACGAGTGTACATGCTCTTAAAATGCTGTGGAGAAAGGCTGGTGTGTCCAAAAAGATCTAAGCACTGGCCCTCAGAATACATGTCCCGTAAGAAATATCTAATTCCTAAAAATCAAGACACCAACTATCACTAGTGACTCATGAAAATGTTAGTCAATCTTTTCATCCATCTCTGTTTACACAAGCAGCCAACCAGTCTGTGCATGTAGAAAGACCATGAGCCAAATCTGAAATTCAAA